CACAGCACAACGCCTGTGAACCGCAGCGTCCCGCCCCCCCTTCTGCCGGGCACAGAAGAGAAATCCCCCCCCGCCATGAGTGAATCCCCAAACCCTCCTCCTCCTCCTCGGAGGCCAAATCCCGCTGCTGCCGGTTACTCCCGTATGCTGGCAGAGTAGGAGAACTGGGGGAAGTGTGTCCGCTGGTCGTTCTCCAGGGAGCCCATGTTGTCATCTGCAAAGCCGGGGACGGGGAAGGGTTTGAGGGCGAGGGAGATGCTGACGAAGCCTCCCTCGTGCGTTCACAAGCTTCCCCACTCCCTCCCGTGGCAGAGATGCCACCAAAGCTGCCCAAGACCTCTCCAGGGCAGCGAGGGACCCCGAGCTTTTATAGAGGTGTGACAGCAATGCCGCTAGCCCCTCAGGTGACACCCGCCACCACGATGGTGACAGGAAGATGCGGTCGCATGAGAGGAAGGGGTATAGGTGACAAAGGGGATCCCCATTTCTGGGCGGTGTTGGCACTCACAGCGATCCGGCGGGGTGATGGTGATGGACTGGGCGGTGAACTATCGAAATACCGTGTGTCGATCTCGGCCGTCCCTTGGGGCTTGAATGGCGGGACCAGCTGATGGAGACCCGGAGAAATTTGCTCGCTGGCAGCGTGCCAAGCCCCCGCCCGCCCCGTCACCCCCTCAAAGGGCTCCCTTCCCTCCCTACCTTCTTCTGAACCACGTCCTGCCAGTTGATGGGGGCGAAGAAGCGATGCTCCATCACCTCCTTGGCATCGTTGGGACCTCCGCCGAGCCTGCGGGCACAGAGGCACGTGTCCGGAACCGCCGGCAGCGCCACAGTCCCCCTGTCCATCCCCGGTGGACCCTCACCTCTGTTTGGGATCCTTCTTGAGCAGCCCGGCCAGCAAGGATTTGGCCTCAGGGCTGAGGGTACGAGGGAAGCGGATCTCCTCCATGAGGATCAGCTCGAAGAGGCGTTCGTGGTCCTGGTTGTAGAAGGGGAGGCGGCCACACATCATCTCGTACATGACGACCCCCAGGCCCCACCAGTCCACGGCGCGGCCGTAATCATTGTCCTCCAGGACCTGCGTGGGGGAAGATGGAGAGTATGGTGCTGATGAGGCCGAAGAACCAGGCAGCAACATGAGGAGGGCTGTAGCGAGGTGGGTGTCGGTCTCTTCTCCCAAGTAACTGGCGAAAGGACGAGAGGAAACGGCCTCAAGTTGTGCCAGGGGAGGTTTAGATTGGATGTGAGGAAAAATTTCTTTACTGAAAGAGTGGTTAAACATTGGAACAGGCTGCCCAGGGGAGTGGTTGAGTCACCATCCCTGGAAGTATTTAAAAGACGGGTAGATGAGGCGCTTAGGGACATGGTTTAGTGGGCATGGTGGTGTTGGGTTGACGGTTGGACTCGATGATCTTGGAGGTCTCTTCCAACCTTAATGATTCTATGAGGGAGAAGGGAAACCCGTTCTAGATACAACCACTCCTGCAACCCAAGTGTTTGGAAAAGCCCGCGCTGAACTGTTGCCATCTTGGACTTTGGGAATAACCTCCACAGAAAAACCTCTTCGGCACAAGAGTTCTGAGGAAAGCCTGGCTGCGGGAATGCTTTAAGTACCTCCGGAGCCAGGTACTCGGGAGTGCCGCAGAAGGTCTTCATGGTGGCTCCATCTGTGATGCCTTCCTTGCAGAGCCCGAAGTCGGTGATTTTGATGTGGCCGTCTTTGTCCAGCATGAGGTTTTCCAGCTGAAAAGCAAAGCAGACAGGTGGAAGAAAAGGTTTGGAGCTGAGCGAAGTCAGGAACATGGGAGCGGGACGCTGCTCCCCGAAAGGCTCCGTCGGATGGCTGGGGTCTCGATCCATCGCTGCGTGGTTGGGACAAGGGTGACACCTCCCCGCAGGGCAGGTTCAAGCTCTCTCTGGTGAAGCCGAGCTCCCGCCCTCCCTCCTGCAACAACGCGTGCAAAAACATCCCCAGCCCCAGGCGGGCAGCAGCTCTTTGCCACCCACGGTGAGCGGGAGCAGAGAAAGGCAGCTCATGTCAACCGAGCGTGACGCTCTGCCGGCTGAAACCCTTTGCGGCCCCTCAGGGTGATTTTTCGGAGAGCTGGGAGTGACTCCACACCCCCAAACACTAGACCAGGAAGATGAAAATTGCACTGGTGCTAAGACAGGGCGAAGGCACCGCTTATGGATGCCACTGCTGCTGGGCTGGTACCTTAATGTCCCTGTACACCACGTCCCGGGAGTGCAGGTACTCCAGCGCAGAGACTATTTCCGCGCCGTAGAAACGGGCTCGGTCCTCCGTGAAGACGCGTTCTCTTGAGAGGTGGAAAAACAGCTTGAGGGAAAGAAAAAAAAGAGAACAAGCTGATCAACAAGCGCTTAAAAAAAGAACCCCAGTGAAACCCGGGTTAATCACTCTCAGCACGCAGCTAATGCAGTCATATGTGTCCTAAGCTCCTTGCCTTGAGCGGTCAAAATATTGATGGCCCCCCCTCTGCTCTGCTGGCGGGAGCTGGGGGGAAAACGCCGCTGCGTGTTGTCTGCAAGAGGGGCTGAGCCATCGGCTGCGTTCCCCCTTGCAAGGAACCCCCAACACAGGGGTGGAGAAACAGAGCTGGACGCGAGCGCAGGGTGAAAGGTAATGGAGCCAGTGATGGCTGGAGGTGCTGTGGTGTCCACAGCTCCCCGGGTGATGAGGAGGAGCGCCCTGGGGGTCCTGCTTCCTCCCCCAGACGGTTGCTTCATGCACGCAACGGCCTGGCTGCGATATTGAGTGCAAGGAAGGCGAGCGAAGAGCCAGGAAAGCTCAGGCGAGAGGAGAGCAGTGTACTCCACCTCCCAAAATACGTGCTGAGGGGAGATTGTGGAATAAACTGTCCACTAACGAGCTGAAAACAGCTATTTAACATGCGGACAAGATCCTTCCAAGCCCCGGGGGGAGTGTCGGGTCTTAAGCTCCCACCTCTCCGCCGTTGGCATACTCCATGACGAAGCACAGTCGGTCGTTCGTCTGAAAGGCATATTTCAGTGCCTGCAAGAGGGGAAAAAAAAAGGTCTTGGAGAAGCTGCGGGGCTCTGCACTTCCAGAGGAGGCGGTGAGGGGAAGGAAAGGGTCATTTTGGGGCACGCCAGGCAGCCCAGCACCCTGCCCCTTTGCTCCCTCGCTGCCACCAGCCATACTTACAGTGAGGAAGGGGTGCCTGGTGTTCTGCAGCACCCGGCTCTCCGTAACAGTGTGTGCCACCTCGTCCTGCAAAGAAAGGAAAAATTAAACACTCTTTATCCCCCATCGTTTCTGGAAAATCAGAGATTTTTCACTGCTGCCAATCATTCCCAGAAAAAAAAAAACACGAATGGGAGCTCGAACCGCCAACCTCCACCCTGTTTTTGTCCCCACGGGGTGAGGGGTTTGCTGGCCAGATCATCCGGAGGAGGAAGACGTGGCCGCACCGTGTCCCCCAAGAGAGGCGAGCGAGTGGATCCCATGGTGTCACCCAACTGCGCATTACAACACGTGCCCGGGGTTTTGAAATAAGGGTAATTCCTGGAATCCCCCAGCATCTAGAGCACAGCAGGAGCTGTCCATCGCTCGGCAGCTTCAGAGGCGCGTTTTGAAAGCCATCCCAACACGCAGGGGGTTGGATTAGATGACCTTTAAAGGTCCCTTCCAACCCAAACTATTCTATGATCCCCTAAGCCCTGCCAGCTCCCAACTCTTCCCCTCACCCTCTGCTGGGGCTGGGCACGTACTTTCGCAATGATGACCTCTTTCCGTAGGATTTTCATGGCATAATAGCGGCCAGTGGCCTTTTCCCGCACCAAGATGACTTTGCCGAAAGTGCCCTTTCCCAGGAGCTTCAGGTAATCGAAATCATTCATGGTCTGGGGAGAAATGGGGAGACGGAGGTGAGAGTTTGTGGCATGGGCAAGCGGAATCCAGGATGGGAAAGGGTCTTCCGAGCTATTTCACCCGCAATCATCCCGGTCACAGAGGACACCACAGGGATGAGGTTTATCCCATAACCCTCCCTCATCGCTCGGCGGTCCCAATCAACCGCAATCCTGCTTCTGGCAAGAGACGGTGCCATCCTGGGGGTGACTTACGGCCTTGGCGCGGGTTTTGCTGACGGCCACCTCCATCTCCTCAGCGCCAGTGCTGTCGTTAGGAGATCCGCACTTGTAATCCATTGTGTCCGCCTCCGGTTCCTGGTTCTTCAGGCTGTTTGCTACCGTCTGGATGGCTCGCATCCACTCCTCGCTATGGAGAAAAGGGGATTGGTGGCACAGGGAGGTGGTGAGGATCACCAAGGGGGGCTGTGCCCGCCCCTCCAGCCTTTGCAGGCAGATGGGAGTCACAGCCAAGAGATTTCGGGGCTCTCCTCCAGCTAGGATTCTTCGGGAGAGTCCACATGGAAGGTCCTCTCGATGACTGTTGTCCACTGCAAGCATCGGATGACAAAGGAGTTGGGCCGAGGCCGCTCCGTCTTCATCAGCTGGCACTCTGCGAAGGTTCAAAAATATATTAAAAAGAAGGGAAGAGGATGGTTTGGGATCAAATATCCTCATCCCAAAACCTTCCCTCATGGTATCGGGGACGAAGACACCCTGCCCGATGCCAGCGCATAACCATGGACAGCCCTGAAGCTGCCTGTGCTGACGTACCCGCCACCGAGAAGTTATTCAGAGGTGGCAAGCTGTGGTCAGACGTCTCTGGCCGTTCCTTGTAGCCGATGAAGGAGCCGTC